GCAAGGCAGCAAGTTTCGCGTACGCCATACCCTGGGGAATGACCACAGCTCCAACAGTCACACCTGAGAATCAATTAGACAGAAGCATAGGGTTGAGGAGCAAGGAGGGATTGCTTACCAGCAACAAAGTCTCCCAAAAACCATTGCATATTGTATCTCGTGATCCAAGTCAAGAAAGGGAAAAGTCTGTAAAAGTAGCTGCCAACATCCTGCCAAGTTGGGCAGAGCTCTTTGAGCCATTCAGCCGAGGTGGGCTCGGGTTCGACGTAGGAATAGGTATCCACGGTGCCAACGGAGAACATGGACTCGCCTCGGGTCACTGGGTCAGCATTGGCACCAAGAGGGTCGCGATAGGGAAGCTTGATCCCTAAGCCTTTGGCCAGCCCGTGGCCAACCTTGGTTTTTAGATCGGCAGACATGATGGTCGTGTAGGTAGACAAACGTTCGAGTGGACCAGGAGAAGTCTGGAGGATAGGGTGTAGTATGCCCAGATCTCAGCAGGGCTTGACGAGGTTCAGCGAGTAGAGACCTTCAGATGTGGAGACAGGTAGCCGTGTGCCACGGATGAGATTGGCTCAGTTGGTGTGTCGATGAGTGTATTCAAGCAGACTCCATGGCGTCGATGGTAGATATATAAGACGGAAAGGCGAAGATCTAGAAAAGCCAAGAGCGATGTCGTGATCCGGAGATGAGAATGCGAATTGCTAGCTATCCGCAACCAAAAAGCCACCCAAGCCTAAGCTGGAAGTGATATTGTCCAGACTGATCAAAAAGGCAACCAATGTGAACAAGCAATCGATGGAAATAAAATGATAGAGACGTGGGGGAGCTAAGTTTTGTGGTTGATAAAACAAGGAATCGTACTGTGGCTTTGGGGAGAGGTCCAGCCGGGGAACGTCTTCTTTACAGCGGAGGCGTTCGAACACGAAGGAGGAAAAAGCAAACGGAAGTTAGGTAGAGAGAGAGATAGATGAAGGGATGAAGATGGTTAAGAGGAGTAGAGCAAAAAGAAATAGGTGGAGGGTTGCGTTGACGCTGTCAAGATGTAGATCCCTCCTGGGGGGATGGCGATTCGAGAACAAGGGAGAAAATTATTAATAATGACAGTATTACTTTTCCAGATGCTCAAATCAACTCATGATATTTCGGATCTTGAACAAGGAAATAAGAATAATAATGGAAACTTATTTTAAACTAGATATTTTATGTACTCCATACCTAGATACGGAGGAGATACCTTTACGTATCTTGAAAATTAAGCCAAGAGCGCGCGGCGACATGGGTTCCATGAGACCCACATGGATCGCCGGCCAAAGCAAGACGAAGATACTGTAAGAGTGAGAAACAGAGCTAAGCAGGCTCGAATTTCGGAATTATCAATGCATCGAATAGAAAAAAATGCGCCTGAACTCGCTTGAATTTTAACTGATGAGGCCACCACAGGTGCAGGCGTAAGAGCAACGTTTACCAGGGAGACAAGGGAAATCTCTGTTTGACTAGTATCTAGACAGATACTCGCAAGATGACGATGGGCGGGTCCATGGTTTGCCATCAGCATTGCATCTGGAAGGACGATGATTATCTCCGCAGTGTTTCCGCCCTCTGCAGAGTAAAGCTCTTGAATATTCGAGTACATCCAAGCGACTGAGTCGCCGTCCATCCTTGTACTCCGTAATTGTTCTCCGTTACTGTACCAGCTGTTACAACCTACAATCTCAATTATCCGCTTAGTCTTCAAACTCCAAAATACCGAAGCAAGAGTCGTTTAATGCCAAGAACAAGTGGGAAGCTAAACGGCAGACTCTCCAGACTTGCGGACCTCACCGTCTTAAGTACAGCCAATCAAAACTGCTGATGGGCACACAGCGACATCATCCGCTGCAGATTCCTCCAGACTCCACCAAGCTTGGCCGCCAATAGGAATTCCGGCAGAACACGCCATCGCATGCATTGATGGTGAAAGCTCCTACCGGCTTGGAAGGTCCACGTGTGCTGTGCGAACATTCCTAAGGACGAGGTACGTAAGGCAGTGTACCTTACAGTTTGACTAAGGTGTCGACGCTACTCATCAAGCGTACTCTCGGAAGTCTAAATGTTTCAAGTTTAATTAAGAATAGTAACATGTCAAATCAAAATCGACGATAATTCTGAAGAATATGACCTGGAAAAGAGAATCCAAGGCCGAAGCATACAGAACTGTGGGGTAGTTACAAGGAGATCAGTAACTTGCCATCGAGAGCGTCTCTGTCAGCACTCTACAGTTGCTTTAACCTACCGATGCTTTGAGCATTGAGATCAGATCAAGCGCGTATGCAGACTGCAAGGCTCTAATCCTATTTAGCAACATGTGGCTTGGACTCTCGGCGAGACGAACCTCTTTCAGTCTTGCTGCAGCCCAACCGGTCCAAGCTCCGTCCTCCTACAGGCTACCTTAGTAATCTACTTACAGGACAAGGCTGCAAGAACTCCCCATAAGAGATACTAGTCAGCATCACCAGAATGATCAAATTAAAGCTCGTCGACTAACTAGTTAAGGGACCTTACTCAAACTGATCACTTTCAGTGGAGACTGATCCAGCCGCCAACTGCTGAAGGTTTGTTGTGAACACCGACATGTCTGGATCATCCGGTTCAGCTCCCAAGGTTTGCCAAACACGGATGATTTTGACAACTCCAATCCAAATGTAATCGAATAACGCAGGCAACTGCGGATAATCCGATAATTCTGAGTTTCTCAGAGTCAGTCAGCACCCAGACGCCCCAGAGTTATAACCCTGGTCTTCCCCACTCTGACACCATCGAGATCAAAATCGCATCATCTCCATCTTATCACAGTGCAGCATTTGAGAACTCCTATCTGAATCAAGCTATCTCGTCAAGAGATCCTGCGACAATCAGTTTGAGGCCCAATCGCACTAAACAATTAATCTCTTTACTACCTGCCGTCCTACCTAGGTACGAGACTCGTCACATCCACCCGGCCACCTAATCTCGAAGCTGGATGGCTGTTTATCATACTTGGCAACCGCCGACGAAGTCATTCTACCCGCATACGGAGCTGATTGGGAAATATCACGTTGCCATGAAACCCCAAAAGTCTGACGCCCTGGTTCTGTGGCTTACTCCCTCTTAGCTCCTGTTACACAGCAGAGTCGGGTCGCCGCATGACTCGACTATTCCTGTAGCTAGAAGGCTTGCAATGATCACTTCGAGGTACAGCCCCTAGCTTCTCATGAAAGGGCTGAGCTCATTTTCACGAAAACGAGGCCATGGCTCATTTACTTTTCCCTGGCTTGGACTGAACGCACCATCCAACTCTGGCGGGTGTGAGAGGAACAAGTAACCGCAAGCGAGACCGCGTGAGAATCTGGGCAGCATGTGCTCTGATACCGCGGATCAGTACCCAAGCCCACGGTTTGCCTCATGCTAACGTCCCGAAAACCTTTTGTCTTACATGAAAGTCTTACAGCACTACTTTCCCCCACAGTGTTCTTGTTGTATCTGAGCCGCTTTGTCCATGTGGCAAGCTGCAGGGCTGCCTCGTATTTGTCGATCGAGTTGGACAGCGAAGTGCTCATCGGAAAGCATGTTAAGGCAACTAGGACACACGTGGGATGCCATTCGTCTGTGCTTCTATCATGGTCAGCGTAAAGCAAATCCAAGTCAAAGCTGATGTGCTTGGTCAAGCGACCACACTCATGGTGCTACCATGAATTTGATCACTAGTCGAGTCCAGATACTGGCCCCTAGTGCGCTCTTGCTTGTCGCCGAGCCACCCTTGGCCCAGAGGCAGTCATACGACTCTGCTCCAACGGTCGCTGAATGAGCTGGGTGCAAGCAATCTAGCTATCAGTCTAGAGCAGTTATCGTTCCTTTCTTCCTCATTCAAGCTGAAGTCTTCGATCTAGACTTGTCTGTTCCATTAAAGAAAGCCGTACGTCTCAAGATCTCGTTTCCTCCTTGGACACTCATCTCAATTAGTGTGGTATACCCAAGTCGCCTCTCAAATGCCAGTCAAAGTTCGCTATGAAGCAAGATGGTTCAACCACAACCACCCATCCCAATAATCCACATACTTCCAGCCCATCAATCAATCTTGCGCAATTGTGCCTATGAGCTGCCTACGTGCTCGAGAACCGCCTCGTCTTCCCTGGCCTGGGTTCCGACCCTAAAATCATACTATGGGCCTTCCTTTTTCGAATCAACCTTGGTAATCATATCCTAACTCCATTCCAACAGCAAATCTCTACGCAATGCGTTCAGAAAGCAAGGTAAGTAGCTTCCCTAGGTGTCACATGCATGTGACGCTGCGAAGTATATGCCGCTCTCCAAGTTGTAGAGTAACCCTGGTTGTCCCGACTACTTTTTATCTCGAATGTCCAAAACAATGATGGGCGTAATGGTGACTGAAATCGGCCCAATGACTGGAGTTACAAGGGCCAATGTTTGTTTAATCGTCAGTTCTCCATGTGGCACAGCTCAGTCTTAGTATGCAATGAGCGAAAGCCGAGCCATGAGTCTACCCAGGGTTATCAAATAGGTGAGTATTCTGCAAAAAGCAAATGGCAAGAGGCCAAGACTACGGAGTTCGTTGGAGCAGATACTCTTTGAGGTTCAATACCCAATCCGCATTCAAGTCTATAGATGTGAAAGAAACGCGGCACTCAAGCGAGCCGAAGCAATCGAATCTTCGATGAAACATCATCATTCATCCTCATCATCTCATCAAAGTCAATGCTTCATCCCACAAAACAGAAAGAAAATCCTATGCAAGGGAATCTGAAGTATGATGAAAAAATCAAACTAAAAAAGAGATTTCTCCATTGGCATCCCCCAGGTCTTCAGAGCGAACGCCATCGCAAAGCAAATCATTAAGTCAGAAACACAAAGGAACCGAATTGTACCAGGGACGGCTCCCCCACATGGTATCATAAGCGACTCGCGTAAGTGCACCAGCACACATCAACTATATTAGCCATAACCATCGTCCCCAATGCCTTTTACTGCGAAGCACACTGCACCCGCTCAGCGCCAGGAGGAACATCGTCGTCATCCTCGTCCATGGCGCTGGCGGCGCCGTGAGCGCGTCTTTGAGAGCCCTCGCTGGCGTCAATGTCCTCCAGTTCGAAATCCTCAACCATTGAATCAGCCGGAGGCTGAGGCTGCTCCCGACGAGGTGGCAAGACCTTCTCCAAGAGATCGAGGTTCTGGAGCTGATCCTTTTCAGGGAATTTGACGTCGAATTGGATGTACAGGTTACCAAAGTCATGATGGCGGAAAGAGGGCATACCCTGGCCCTTGATCACCTTGATGGCACCTAGAGGAGGTATTAGCTACAACGACTCAACAAGACAAAGAATAAGTGGACAGAAACATACCAGGGGTGATAACCTCGCCAGCAGCGATGTTGACGGTCAACCACCGCTCATCAAGGTGCTCGATGTTGATAGAACCGCCGGCGAGAGCAGTCAGGAGGTCGATCTCAGCGTGGTAAAACAGATCGTCATCCTTGCGCTGGAAACGGGGATGAGGCTTCTGCTCAATCTCGAATACGACATCACCCGGTAGGACGCCAGGCATCTGGTCACCCTCGCCGCGGAACTCGATCTTGTGGCCGTTCTTGACACCCTTGTCGACGTGGACATGAAGCACCTTGCGCTCCACGACGGTCTTCTTACCATTGCAGCGCTTGCAACGGTCCTTCTCGCGGATAATCTCTCCCTCTCCGCTGCAGTCGGGACAAACGGTCTGGAATCGCTGGATCATGGGGCCCATCTGGCGCATCATTGTCTTCATACCGGAACCATTGCAGCCAGTGCAGGACTTGACGGCGCCTTCCTTACCACCACGGCCGTCACATCCGGGACAAATGACGGACTTCTGCAATGCCAATTTGGAGATCTTGCCACGGTAGATATCCTCCAGGCTGACTTTGTGTACGTGGTGAATAGTACGGGCCTTCTTGGGGCCTTGATCCCGCATGCCACCGCCGAACATACCGCCGAACGCACCGCCGCCGCCGAAGAACTGAGCGAAGAGATCCTCGGCACCCATTCCTGGACCGCCAGCACCGCCTTCAAGGCCTTCTTCACCATACTGATCGTAAATCTGACGCTTCTGAGGATCCGAAAGAATTTCATAGGCATGGGACATTTCCTTGAACTTTTCGGCCGCTTCTGGATTGTTTGCATTCTTGTCTATACAACATCCTGTTAGACTCCAGATCCATCCATCGCGAATATCATCGACAATAACATACCAGGGTGATACTTGAGTGCACCTTTCTTGTAGGCGCTCTTCAGCTGAGCTTCAGAGGCTGTCTCGGGTACCTGACAATCAAACCGTTAATTCAATCCTGATTATAAAGATTTTCAGTGACTGTTACTTACCCCCAGGGTGTCATAGAGCTTGGTATCCTTGACCATTGTGATATGAGTCTGAAACGAGACTTGTTCGGAAAGATAGAACTAGCAACAAGAAAAAACTTTTCGTCTAAAAAAGACTGTCCGAAATCTGGACGGATAGAAGACGTGGAGAGAAGAGAAGAGAGGAGAGAAGAGGTGTAAGAGAAATCGACCGGAGCGTCAAATATTGAATTCAAAGGGATAGTAGGTCGAATTGAGGTTGAGAGAAAGAATCTGGAGGTTTGACCCTTTCCAGATTATCAAGACAGGAGCGGCGACAGGCGGCTGTTCAGGCTGGAACCGTAACTTGTGAAATCTGATTACCAGGGCAGGCACCAAAGAACCACTTTTCTATGCGAAGGATGTTCTCTGATACGCCAGGCGTTTTCAAGATCTGCGTATCTAAAAACGGAGATATGATATCTTGAAACTCCGAGGAAGTCGAGAGGAAGGGATGAAGGGTATATCTAGACAGTACGAGTCGCCTTAAAATGAGCAAAGAACAGGTGATTACAGGCTCGCCTTTTCTTGCTTTTCAAGAAGGAAAGAATTCCCTTCGTACAAGCCTTACAAAGCTCCGAAAATGGTCGATACGACATTCTCGCTGCTTCGACTGACCCCGTCACAGGCTGAATCCATGGCCCAAGCGGGATTCGGACAGTTTCGATGCAATTCCATGAGCTTCCGTCCGCCTCGCAGCCTTTCCATGGCTGACTGACGTTTTGAAATACGCTGTTTCTGACAGCTACTTTCTATGGGTATTGCTGGATTTTGCTGCGTCACAACTCTGTTTGAAAGTAATTTTCCGCTGTCTTCTACCAACCCTTTACATAACAATACAGCGCTGCGGAAGGACAATAGTCATCCGTATGAGCCCTGTCCAAGGCTCACTCTTAGATTGCTAATCTCTCCGCCTTAAATTCAGATAAAAGTCATTTTACTAAAGTTCTGACCATTAGACAACTACATGAATCTTGCACCGCTTACTCGTGGGAGGCGAATTTGTAAAGAGCCTTACCACCTACATCTTCTTTCCATGTATAGTTTGAACTCTGGTACCCTTATTTGACTTTTTCTTCATCGGAGTAATCCGTACTGGGGCTCAGATGTGGCGGAAGTGGATGATTGCCTCCGATTCTTATCGATAAGAGATAAGGGACAACCCCAGAAAGGAAGGAGGGGACTTCCCCAACCTGACATGCATTGACGCGATCGTGATTGTTGCCATTATCGTACCTACTCTACGAATATGGACATCTTTCATTTCACATCTAAGTAAATAATCTAGTAGTCGATACAGAAGCTCACACTCAAGCAAAACATATCTGCTCGTGAGTCGTGAGTCTGATGCCGCTAGCCTTTGAGATGAGAGCCAGCCTCGGAAGTAGTCAACGACAAGCTGTACCGAGATAGTGGACCCGTCAAAACCCACCTCTGATATTGATTACATACTTATCTAGAATTCATCCTTCCTTTAGCAGACTCGTGCACTGAGCTTGCTTTCCTTGACCTCTGGACTCACATCTCGGAACCCTTCACAATGGAAACGGATGCTGGTTTCATCGCCGCCTTGGAAGAGGCAAAGAAAGGTGCCGCTGAAGGTGGAGTCCCTATCGGTGCCGCTCTAGTGTCCAAGGATGGGAAGATCCTCGGCCGTGGACACAATATGCGCGTTCAGAAAGGAAGCGCAACCTTGCATGTTAGTCCCAATTGATACAACTTACTTCTGTTTTGGATCGCCGTGGATCATTCCTGTACAAGCCGGCATTGCACGATGGCATAAGCGAAGCTCACATCAATTCATCGTAGGCCGAGATGTCTGCTCTCGAGAATTCTGGCCGTCTTCCCGCCTCCGCCTATGAGGGTGCGACTATGTACACCACGCTGTCACCATGCGACATGTGTACGGGTGCCTGCGTACTTTACAAGGTTAAGCGGGTTGTCATCGGGGAGAACAAGAATTTCATGGGCGGCGAGGAGTATCTTCTGAATCGGGGTAAAGAAGTGGTTGTGCTGGATAATGAGGAGTGCAAGCAATTGATGGAGAAGTTTATCAAGGAGAAGCCGGAGCTTTGGTACGTCTTCAGTCTCGACGCCAGTTTTCTTGCGACATTATTCCCCGGCTACTCTTCTTGCGGTTACAGAGATTGACACTAATCATGTCGTTATAGGAATGAGGACATTGCTGTCTAAGCTTGTTGCCGATATAAGCGGTCTTTGACAAAACGCCTTCGAATGGAGATGTTTACAATGATATAGTGTAAATAGGCTAGATCCTCAGTATGATGCTTTTTTATGCCTGAACACAGGGTATATCGTCTGTCTATGCGGCCGTCAAGCGGTGAATCTCTTCGAAGAAGAACTTGAGATCGTCCGGTTGCACAAATGGAGTGATACCTGTCACCATTAGTGGTTGCATTTGATGAAGTCCGTACAGGAGATGAGAATTTACCGTGACCCAAGTTGGCAATCCATCCTTGCTTGCCACCTTGGAAGCCCTTGACCATAACCTCGACGGCTTCGGTGATAGCTTCGCGACTACCGTAAAGTACGCCGGGGTCGGCATTGCCCTGGATCGTTACGCGGCCCTTGGCAATCCGCATCGCCTCAGCAGGATCGTGCAACCAGTCAAGACCCACAACATTATAGCCCGATTCGCAGAGATCCTCGAGAGCGTACCACGCCCCCTTGGCGAAGACGGTCATTGGCACGCGTTCCAGACCCATCGCATCCAGTCTCTTGGGCAGGTTGGCAGAAATGTACCGCAGATACGGGAGAGAGAAGGTCGTGAAAGTCGCAGGGGACATTTCTCCGGCCCAGGAGTCAAACACCTGGACGAGCTGCGCTCCTGAGGCGACCTGGAGAGCCAGATATTCAACGCAGATCTCGGCAATCTTCTGCAGCAGTGCCTGCGACTCTTTCGGATACTTGTAGATCCATGTCTTAGACTGCACAAACAGCTTGGTCCCGCCTCCTTCAACCATGTAGCAGAGTAGAGTCCATGGCGCACCGCAGAAGCCAATCAGAGGCACACGGCCTTTCAACTTGTGCCGGGTAAGCGTGATGGCCTTGTACACGTAGTCTAGTTCCTCCTTCACGTTGACCTCCTTCTTCATAACCTTCTCGTATTGTCCGTCGTCCGGCGACTTCAGAGGTTCAGGAAAGTGGGGTCCCTTCTTGTCCACCATTTCGACCTGCATGCCCATCGCCTGGGGGATGACAAGAATATCCGAGAAGATGATCGCAGCATCGATCAATCCGTCGTACCGATCCACGGGCTGGATGGTCAGGGTGGATGCAATCTCCGGGTTCCGGCAGCATTCGAAAAAATCGCGGTTTCCTTTCGCTTCATGGTATTCGGGAAGGTAGCGGCCAGCTAGAGCATTGATTGCTTAGTACCAGAGACAGACAAGGAGTAATAGACAAGGAGTAATGCAATGATAGGCATCAATGATACACAAAGTAGGATATTCGTTCAGGAACATACCTTGTCGCATAACCCATATTGGCGGACGCGGAACTCTCTCGCCTAATGATCACATCAGTTCCTTCAATTATCTGCACACGAGATCTCGAGTCATCTTATACCTCTGGCGGCTCTGAGCAAAAGGTCGTTCTTTAAAGGCTCAAACTTCTCTTGCATTTTGAAATGAGTGGGAGTTATATTGTAAAATAAAAAAAATGATCTGAGGCGGGGTGACATTCACCTCGGGTTGCAGAGTGCCGGCCCAGCCGGCAAGCCAGCCGTGATTGATCGATCTCCCCGAGTGTACGGAGTAGTTAAATCGGAGTATCAAAAGCTCTTAAAACATGTCCTACGAAAAGAAAGCATAAAAGCATGCTGAGACACCTCAGTATTTATGCAAGATTCTATGTTAATTAAGGTATTGTACATTTTATCTTCAACATTACTCGTCTTCAAAGTTCTTTTTCCGCAGGTTGCCCAAACTATACAACGAATCGTTCAACTCCTTCTTCTGCTTCTCTTCGAGGTCTGCTGATATCTCGGAGGTACCTTCGGAATTTATCTGTGCAGTGATCGCGTCTGATGTGGGCTCCCAATCAAGACCCTCTGACGCTGGCTTCAAGCGGAAAGCCTCAACCAGGGTCGACGGTGAGGGGGCAGTAGTTCTCCATTCTTGCGTGGACCCAGCCTCCCGCACTGCGTCGACGGATACTACAATCGAGCTGCTCTCGGCGGGAACTGTTAGGTCAAGAACGTTGCCAGCAGCCTGGATGGAGTTCTGTCCTTTCAACGAGCCATCAGACTCAAGCGTAAAGCAAAATAGCTTTGAGGACCTGGAATGGATCATGAGTCTCTCTCATGAAATATTTCGTATGAATGAACTTACCCGTCTAATGCAACGAGGATGACATTCGCATTCTCCTGAGAGTTTGCGGGCTTGGTAAGTGACAGGGCCCAGATACGACGAACAATAACTTCAGTGTCCGCGCCTTCTTCGACCAAGGGGGCCTTATGTACGAGACGGCCCTCATTCCATCTCCATACAAGCAAGTGATCGTCACATCCGCCTGAAATGAGATATTCCGGTGCCCAAGGGGGAACGCACAAGCTACTAACGAACGAGGTGTGGCCCAGGCAGTAGTTCTCAATAATATGCGCTTGAGGAGGCCCACGAGAAACCCGAATATGTTCATCGCGGTCCGCAGTCAATATGTATGATCGCTTTCGACCCGAAGTTGCATCCAGTGGGATGGATACGTAGACTAAGTCTGTGAGCATTGACACATGCCCAAGGATCATATGGAGTTCGAAGGCAGACGTGGGCTTTTCTTCGGCTGTCTTCTCTTTCTGGCCATAATATCGCAACTGCTGTTCCAGCGATGCCAGGTTTCGCTTACTGTGAACAGTCAAAGTCGTTGCTGCTGGCTGATTCGGCTTGATTTTGCCATGGACTTTGGGCGCAATACTTGACTTTCCCGTATCGATCAGTGGTAAAGAATACACATCCCCGAACTTATCCCCACACAGGATGGTTTTATCATCCTCAACCAAGGCGATCGCAGATGGCCGCTTGGGCATATGTCTACCAGAACGTAAGCGTTTTCCTTATATATTATAAAAACCGATAGTAGACATACCTCTCGCTCAATTGCTTGAGATTGCCACCCTCTTCTATCTCAAAGACACGAAGACACTTGTCTTCACCAGTGACGGCAACTATGTGGTTGCCGTCAGATGACACGGCCAAGATGGGGATCGTTGACCAGGCGTTTGAACTTTTCGATTGATCTCCTTTCGCTGTCTGCTCGGGCACTGGAGACACCTTTCTCTTTTTAGCTGATGGCCCGTCCCCTTCAGAGCTTGGTGCTACACTGACTACTGTAGAATCTGCAGCATTGGCAGCCTCAGGCCAGATAGCAAGCTGTTTTCCGGTCTCAGCAGCGTAGGTGTATATTTTCGAGCCAGCAGAAGCGACAAACAGGTTGCGGAAACCAGCTTGTTGCCGCTCTACATATCTGATGCATTGAATCGGATGTTGGTAGTTGACCACCATAATGAGAGGTACAGGTCGTCCGATAATACGCCCAGTATTTTGTATATTTGACTAGATGATTGCTCAAGCACAACGACCAAGATCAGAGAAACAATTTGGTGCGAGCAACCAAAGTTCAGACCCCAACAAGACTTGTACAAGTCGTCGAATCGTCACAACTACAGGCCTATATACTGACTCCGGCCCTAACGCTGCATGGGGCATTTTTGCACTGCGGCGGGTGGAGCTCACGTGATTGCCTCGCTTCGCGAATCCACACGAAGAATTTCCCCAAAATGACCACCGGCGGAATTTCTCTTGATGAACTTTCAACGTCACGATTCATATCGGACAACATCAAATTTCACGAAATTCCTCCTTGCCCTTAAATAACCTATCTTCATTGAATTAAGAAGACATGGGGGGCAAGTCTGCTACCAAGGCCGCTTACTTTGATAAGCTCAAGAGCCTTCTCGATGAGTACAACACCGTCTTCATTGTCGGTGTCGACAATGTCAGCTCTCAGCAGATGCACGAGATCCGTGTGGCTCTCCGTGGTCAGGCCGTTGTCCTGATGGGTAAGAACACTATGGTATGTTTAATTCCTGAATCTATAGTTTCCGCAGCCATTGACTATGAAATCCAGGTTCGCCGTGCCATCAAGGGCTTCATCACCGACAACCCGGAGTACGAGCGTCTGCTTCCTCACGTCAAGGGTGAGTAGAATACCCTTACCCGCGTGGGACGGGAAACAACGGGATTTGAAATTGGTGGCTAATCTCTGTATGATAGGCAACGTTGGTTTCATCTTCACCAACGGTGACCTGAAGGACGTCAAGACCAAGATCCTGGCCAACCGTGTCGCTGCTCCTGCTCGTGCTGGTGCCGTCGCTCCCGCCGACGTCTGGATTCCCGCTGGTAACACCGGTATGGAACCCGGTAAGACTTCTTTCTTCCAGGCTCTCGGTGTCCCCACCAAGATTGCTCGTGGTACCATCGAAATTACCACCGACCTGAAGCTCGTTGAGGCTGGCGCCAAGGTCGGTCCCTCTGAGGCCACCTTGCTGAACATGCTGAACATCTCCCCCTTCACCTACGGTATGACCATTGCCCAGGTGTACGACAACGGCCAGTGCTTCCCCTCCCATGTTCTGGACATTGAGGAGTCTCAGCTCCTCGATGCCTTCAGCAGCGCCATCAAGACCATCACCACGGTCTCCCTGGCCCTCAACTACCCCACTCTGCCCTCCGTCATCCACTCTCTCGTCAACGGCTACAAGAAGGTTCTCGCTGTCGCCATCGAGACCGACTACAGCTGGCCCGAGATTGAGGAGCTCAAGGACCGTATCGCCAACCCTGACGCTTACGCTGCCGCTGCTCCTGCCGCCGCCGCCCCTGCTGCCGGTGGTGCCGCTCCCGCTGCTGAGGAGAAGAAGGAAGAGGAGGAGGAGGCCTCCGACGAGGACATGGGCTTCGGCCTCTTCGACTAAACTTGTCGCAGAATCCCTGCGCGAGTTACGGATGCCATGTATTAGACCATTCCATGTCCGACCTTACGGTCGGACTAATGAAAAAATGACTATCATGGATTTTGTGAACTTTGCATTCTCATCTAGATGTGGACGTAGACACGCTCCACCATCTTTCGATGAGTAGCAGGTAAGCCAGCATTCCCTCTTGGTTTTCTCTCTTCCC